CTCTTCCGTGAACCCTTCTTCGGTATTTGAGCAATGGTTACACCTCGGAAGTATCAAATTAATTAACGACCATTTTTTTTATTAATGGCGGCAAAAAAAAATAAAACCTAACCGACGATTGAATCGTTGAATAATTAATTTGCAAACTTTTCATTTTACATTATTTTACGAGTTTAAGTAAAATTACGTAAACAATGGAGTTTCAAGAAGAAGAAGAAAAAGAAGTTAAAAATAAATAAATAAAATTAGTCTTTTCTATTCTGCCATAAGGGTAATTAACTTGTTTTCTCTTATTTTTTGTTATTTTTTTTTTCACTAACAAAAAAAAAAAAATTTAATAATATAAAGAATTAAAATTTGAGATTAAATAATGAATATTGAAAAGCTAAAATTAATTTAAATTGGTATTTGAGAATTTAAATCCTCATGTTAATGAAAAATGTTATCTCAAAAGGAAATGTGAAATTATTTAATAATTTGAATATAATATTGCATAAGTATTTTCTATGTATCTTCTAATAAAAAGAGTATTCTCTACGTATAGCTACTTTTACTGTAATAAAAATTTTACTTAAAAAACACTTATAAATACTTACAAATGCTATTAAAGACTGACATTTAAAAAAAAAAATAAGTTTAGGCGAGTTAAAGACTAACATTGATAAAACTGATAATACATTCAGATTATTTTTTCCTACCGTAAAAAAAAATTTCCATGTCTTCGTATATCATTTAAAAAATAAAATAAAATCGTTACATTTTTTTAATCACCATATTATTATTGAAGCGAAGTATTCATTTTATTAATGATTAATTTTAATATTTTTTTTTTCACCACATGACTTGAATAAATTCAATTTTCTTTTTTGTGCATGAAAAATAAATCCAACCTAAAATCACATGAGCAAATAATTTCTTGCCTAAAATTGTTATATGTTATTGAACAAAGTTATTGAATTATTTTATGAAGACATGTTGCTATTTTAACTTGATTAATATATATATATTTTTTATAATTATGTTATTAGATAGAATTATTCATTAATTCCGGTCAATAAATAATCTCTATTTCATCTTTGGATCCTATTTGGTACAAGAGAAACGGTGAAGAAATGATAGAGGAATGGTTTCATATGTAGTAGAATGAGATTGAGCTTAGCATAGTATGTTTCAAAGGCAGGGAGTGAAGCAAGTGGCTTTACGTTGCATTGACATCTTTACTGCAATTGGAAACTCTTTTGACGTGTGTAGGAAACCGCTTTCTCATGTGCCTCATTTTTGGTTTGCATGTGCATCAGATTAACTACCATTTTCTTCACCACACCGCTTCACCCACTCCCATGTCCCTATGCATTTTCATTCCCCTTTTAATTTTTTCTTTTTAACTAAATTATTCTATAACTACTTACAATTTTATAGTCTACATGTTTTTAATTATTAATTTTTCAAGTTAAGTAACTTGATAATACTATTTGAACACTTGAGTTTTTATAGATTTTTTTATATATATATAAATTACTTACATACGTAACTTTAATCCAGGTTGCTTTGTGGTTAAAAGAATAATTTTTCAGATCAAAATAAAATTTATTATTTGAGAGAAGAAATAAAGTAAAACTCAAGTTAGATTGTACCAGAAATAAAGTAAAACTCAAATAAATTAAAAACTCAAGTTAGACCGTACCATTAGAGTAAAAGCTAGTAAATGTATATAAAAAAAAAAAACTTAAAAACTAGTAAGTATTTTTAAATTATATGTAGCAATTAACAACCGACTCAGTAAATGGGTTAATAACTCAAATTAAAATTTTTCATTAGAAATACTCCTGTGAATCTGTGATATATATACACGGCACGATGTTAGATGTTAGATGTTAGATGTTAGATTAATTTGTGGATATATATAAAAATCAATATAATCCAAACGAATATAAATTATATCATTTGATTTTTAAATAAAATAAATTAGGGTATGCTTGGCTTTCAAAAATATTTTCTATTTTTATTTTTTTTATAAATAATTTTCATTTTCTAATATTGAAATTTAGAGAATGTGTTTGTTTAATTATTTTCAATAAAAGTTCATAAAATATTTTTTTGTATAAACATTACAATCAAAATTTGAATAATAAATTCACCTCTATATATTAAATAAGAAAAACTATTTTATATTATAGTGTTTTTAAGAGTTTATCTCCAATGGAAATAATTTTAGGTTTTATGCTTCAATTTAATAATTTTTAAGAATTCTTTATTTTCTTATGATTTTTTTATTATATTTATTTATAAATTAAATTTTAATATTTTAAAATAATTATTAATAATTAAAATAAAATTATGTTATAGTATAAATTATTTATCATAATTTTTAAATATGATTTACATGTTTAAAAATATCTATTTATATAAATTTTAAATATCACTTATATATATTCAAATATAGTATTTACATATATATATAAGGACGGATCTATGTTCTACATAGTGGGGGCACTTGTTCTCACTACTATTTGACACATACATAATTTTTTTTATCTAAAAAATAATATATTTTAAGAAATAAAAATTATATTCTAATAATATATATATATATATGTATGTGTGTGTGTGTAGAATATAGATTTGGAGAAGATGTTTATTTATTTGATGTCTGTCAAACTTTTGAAGAAGATTAATTCTCTTATGTAATAAAGAATATTTATTGTATACGTTGATTATAAAAATCAAAATAAAAAATTAAAAGATTTATATCCTATTTAGAATTATTATTATAAAATATATTTTAAAATAAATTATCATCTAAAAATATATATTAGATATTAAAAACATGTTTACATCATAAATAAAGTAAACTTGTTTTTTTTTATTTATAAAATTTAACATATTTATTTTTATATTTTTAATAGTGTTAAATTATTATAAAGTAGGTCTTTAGGATTGTAGTTCTAACCAAACATTTAAAAAATGTCTATGATAAATAAATAAGTCATATTTATGATATATATTTTTAAAGAAAGTTAAGTTCAAACCTACTAAATTATGATAAAATTTAATCTAATCTAATTTATTTTCATCTTTAATGGTATTCGTAGATATAAAAACTTGTAAAAAAATTATGATATATATTTATGCCTTTAAAGTTATATATAAAATTTTTAATACTAGAAATATATGAATAAATATTATATCTACTATCTAAAATTTCTGGATCCGTTACTATATATATATATATATAAATATATATATTGTTGCAAATAAATATTATATTTAACTAAAATTTATAATAATCATATTTAACAATCAATATTTAATTATAATTAAATAATACATATCATATCTAATAAAAATATACAGAATATTTATATCAAATAAATTATAAAAATATTAATATTACTATATAAGACATGATTGCTACTAAAATTTAAATAGCGTTCTCTGCACCTAAAGATATAGAACATGTGAATATACGATCAATTTGTATATATAAAATAAGGAAAAAACATGAAGAGAATTCTAGTAAAATACGTAGGATGCAGGCGTCAAAGAGATGACGAAGAATAAAAAACACCGTCTTTTATGAGTACATTTCTGGAAGCACTGAAAACAACACTTATCTGTTTTCAAATTCTGGCTTCTTTTGAAAATGTAAATATTTTCTAAAATTAAAATTAAACACATTTTTATGTGTATTTTCTATTTTTTTAAAATGGAAACATAAAACAATCCAATCAAACAAACTTTTATATTTTCGGCCGACTTCATGCTCTTGGTGATGTTTGATTGTATTTTTGTTTCATTAGTTTTAAAAAATTGTTATGTAAAAATCAAGATTTGATAATGCATGTAATAAAAGCATTTGATTGCTTAATTGTTTTCCTTTGACTTTAATTGGATTCTTAAAACAAAAGGGAGTGCTTTAAACCCTAAAAAAAATGAGAGCGGATTCTGAGGCGACTTAAATCAAACACAATTTAGTTAAATTTGATGTAATAATATTTATTCAGTTCATAATTTGATATATTTTTTTTTAATTTGAATTCAATTTGATTCAAGCTTGTTAATAATTTGATTCATTTTGTAAATTCAAATTATTTGAATCAAAAATCAATTTTTTTTAATATTATGTATTTTAAAATTTTAATTTAATAATAATTTTTTGATAAAATGAGACGAAATCTACCGTGGACAAGCAATGTGGCTTATGGTAATCAATTCTTTTATTATTTTACTTAATTTTAAAATTACAAGTATGTCCTTAGACAATGATCTTTCTTCCACCTTCTATGTAGCATTGCGATATTTATTCCAATTTTGAAGAACTGAAAACCATATTAATTTGTCCCCAGCTAAAAAAGAAATCATAATCTATATATAGCATAGATGCAAAATATTTATGGAGAAAAAAAAATGCAAGTCAAAATGTAACCGTAATTAACCAAAGGAAAAGGCTGGAAGACAAAAAATGAAAGTGACGTGCAAGTCATTTGGTTTTGAGCCCAAAAACTGAACCATGAATTCCACATTTGTCGGAAGCCAACTAAAAGGACAACTCATAATGATGTCCATCCAAAATTTTCCCCTTTTCTCTCCGAAACTTCTGAACCATTTTCCTCGTCTTACATGCATGTATTCATTCCTCTTCCTCCTCCTTTCACCTTTTGCTGTTGATTTCCCTTTCATTTTATTTTATAGCCTCTTCTTCCCTCAAGCGGGGTCCTTCAATCTCATTTGGGGGAACCTCCGTCCATGCATTACTCATTTTAACCATAGAGTTCATGCTGTCTTAGATTTTTTTTTTTTTTTTTTTCACGTTCACTTTCTTCCTGCTTGAAACTATTATTGTTTAGAACCATAACCTTGCCTCACATAGCTAGGAATCCTTCTTGGACGTTTTCTTCTTTGATTCTAGACACTTAGAATAATGAATTGTTTTCCGTGTTTTTCAAAGAGTAAGAAAAGCAGCAACAAGAAGGAACCACAAGGGCCTACACCACATGAAACCGTTGTAACAACAAAAGCACCTACGGGTAATTATTTTATTTTATTTTTTAATAAAGAAACTTACTTGGTTCAATGCCATTTATTTAATCAAAACATATGTATACATACAAGATGAGTTTAAATCGTAAGATGGAGTGAGAGATCAATAGAAATGCCATTTGGAAGTTCTACTCTATTTGTTTTTTTTTTTTTGACTTATCATAATAAGGCTTCAAATATACGTTGGGGGTGACATGCAGATGTAAAGAAACCAAAGCCAGACGAACCAACAAACCAAGTTGATACTACTACGACTATTCAAGCACAAAATTTCACATTCCGTGAGCTGGCAATTGCAACAAAGAATTTCCGCCAAGAAAGTTTGCTGGGTGAAGGTGGCTTTGGCAGAGTTTATAAGGGGACAATTCCTGCAACTGGACAGGTCATATCACAAGGCCTTCAATTTTCACTGCATAAAAGATAATTAAATTCATTATTTTTTTATTTATATTTTTTCTCGTTAGCATGTTTGTTTTGTTCCCTTCTTCAGGTGGTAGCAGTGAAGCAACTAGACCGAAATGGGATGCAAGGTAGTAAGGAATTTCTGGCTGAGGTTTTGTCGTTAAGTCTCTTGAGCCATGAAAATCTGGTCAAATTTACTGGTTATTGTGCTGATGGAGATCAACGTCTTTTGGTGTATGAGTTCATGCCCGGAAACTCTTTAGAACACCGCCTTCTTGGTAGTCACCCTTTATCAGTATAATCCTTCTTCAATTTCAATTTTGTCACATACATTTATATAATGTTATTATGTCTACACTGTGCATTGTCTCTGCCTTGTTTCTCCATATTATCCATGTTTTTGACTTATGCAGATATATAATATAAGATTAGAACAAAACTTACAAAGTATTATTGGTGTTATTTTCTAATAAAAATGAAGTTTTACTTTCGTAATACGCATTGATATTTAATAATAAAAAAATTATTATGCATATTACTGAGACAATTTTTTATGATCGGAGAACAACGCGATAACACCTATGATATTGTATGTAGGTTTTATCCATAAGATTATTGTGCTTATTGCTTTTGCTACAAGGCTGTGTCAACCTTTGCTCATTCCAGTTATGGTTTGTAGAACTAAAATAAATCATGTGTTTGGTTTTAAAACAGAGAGGAAAGCAGATGAACCTCCTTTAGATTGGTACAGCAGAATGAAAATAGCATCAAATGCCGCGAAAGGACTATGGTACTTGCACGACAAAGCAAGTCCTGCAGTTATATACCGGGACTTGAAATCCTCGAACATCTTGCTGGATAATGATCACAATGCAAAACTATCTGATTATGGACTGGCCAAACTTGCTGGTAAAGATAAGATGAACATTGTACCCACAAGAGTTATGGGAACCTATGGTTACAGTGCTCCGGAGTACGTAAGAACAGGTAACCTCACCTTGAAATCAGATGTGTACAGTTTTGGAGTTGTCTTGCTAGAGCTCATAACTGGACGGCGTGCCGTTGACACCACAAGGCCCCACGATGAGCAAAATCTTGTTTCATGGGTAAACCTTAAACACCCTCTTTCTTTTTGTCACTGTTTTCTCCTACTCTTATTACCAGAAATTTTGTCAGTACCACATATTTTATTGTTGGGTGGAATTCATAAATGAGACTTGTTAAACAAGCATATGTGGTGAGAGAGATCAATTCCTTAAATAAATGTTAATACTCTGAAATACAAGTCTGAATCTTAACCGGGGATATGTTGGGTTCACCCAGCAGTGAAAACACATTATGCTGTGGTGGAATGTGTTAGAATTTTAAAAACGTATTGATATCATATTTGTCCCTATAATAGGCATAAAAATGATCCTGGTTGTTACAATACCAAGTTCTAACAGCTAATTTGATCCCCAGATATATATTTTGTTAATTTTATATGTTTTCCCTATTATGAATGAGCAGGCACAACCCATATTCAGGGACCCAAAGAGATATCCAGATATGGCAGATCCAAATCTGAACAAAAATTTCCCGGAAAAGGATCTGAACCAAGTTGTTGCAATTGCAGCCATGTGCTTGCAGGAGGAAGCAGCAGCCCGTCCTTTGATGAGTGATGTTGTGACTGCTCTCAGTTTTCTTTCCACCACTCCTCCAGATGAGATTTCTCAAAAACAGGTTAGTGCAAAATACACAGAAAGTGAAGAGGCCTCAGAATCTGAGTATGGTTATGATGAGAATGAAAACCAACATAATTACAGTCCACAAGACATTAAGGAGACCAAGGAGTACTACTCCAAATCAAGTGGCAAGAGCAGAAGCAGTTATAGTTCAGATTCAGAAAACGGAAGCAGTAGGAAAAGCATCATGAAATCTTCCTTGAGACAAAAGAGCAGTAAAAAATCTTCTGCGAGCCAAAAAAGCAGCAAAAGGTCTTCTGTGAGAGTGTTAAGTCACAAGGGGTCCGTCAGTTCATCCTATAGCAGCAATGAAGATGGTGGTGGTGATCTTTTCCAGCGTAGTGGAAGCAGGCCATCAGAAGGGAATGTTTCAATTGGCCTAATCAGCAGCGAGAGTGTTCTGTCAGACAATGACAGCAGCTTAAGGTCCAGGGAAAGGAGCAGCATTCATTTAGATCATAGCATCAGCAGGGAATCAGAGGAGGGAAGTGTTCATTATCGATAGAGATTATCAACAATACTTTGTATACTCATGTCAATGTCTGTTAATACATCATGGTCGAGCGAAACAAGTCATATCTGCTATCCTCTAATTTTAAACTTGGAACTCGGACAACCATATATATATATCTACATATTTTCTTGTTTTGTTTGAGTAGGTTTCAGCGGTATATCTGTATGTACCTCTTAGCTCAAGAAAAAAAAGAGAGACAATAACCTTGGATTTCCATAGAGGATTGTTGACATTATTGGAATCAGTTACAATCCTTGTCTGTATTATGCAATTAAAAATTCTGGCAATTCTAATGTTATTAATTCCTTTTGTCACAAATTACATCTATATATGTATATGCATGTGGGAATCAATTCTTATTTATTCATTGTATCCAATACCTGCGGAGAAGAATGCTCCATTCCATCACAGGCGCCATTTTTCTAAGTTTCACATATATGACTATGACTACGTGACTTTATCAATTAGCAAATTCTATTTGAAATCCCTTCTAAAATTACATAACACCTCAAAGATCGAAGTTCTTGAATAAGTTGAAAGAAGTACTGTCATATATTCTGTCATGTTAAAAGAGTGATATCAACAAATGGCGGATGATGTTGCAAGGTACGAGGAAGAAAACGTTGTTGTGGCGAGGATTCATGTTCATGACTTGAGAAGCTAAGACTGGGTTGGGGTGTAGCTCTACCAAGCCTCCAGGGTGCACTAGTTTGAGGACGTGGCTCTCTCTCTTAGCGTTAGCGTGTGTTTGGATTCGCATATTGAGTTATGTTTTCAAAGAGAATCACGTCAATTTGATGAAAAGCAAATAATATTTGCTTCTGATTTTCACGTTTTTTACGCGATTCAGATGCTGTTGACGCGGAACCAAACACAGAGTTAGGCATTGGGAAGGTGAGACACACAGAGTTATAATATGATTTGGCGGAGATAGCAAGAGTGAGCATGCAAGTGTTCGTTCTAAGATCATGACGTGCCCTTCTTCATCTCATACCGCCAATGCTATACAAAATATCAGAATCAGAATCTCATATGCTCGAGTTTCCACACTTTTGCAACCTCAATCATAAATGCTGTTCCATTTGTATTAAGTATTAACTAGTAGGGAGATAAAAGTTGAGTTGAAACCAACTCTTAAAATAACTATTTATTTTCAGTTATGAAATTCAAGTTTATTTTATGAAAAAAATATATATGATGATTAAATTTACCTTATTTATTTAAATGAGTTAAAATCAAAATTTAAAGTTATCTGCTTAATTACATTTATTAAATATTTTTTAAGCATTTTAAAGTTTATTAATTCAATATTTGATAGATATTTCCAAACTTTTTCACTACACCTTTTACAATTTGTCCTTTTTTATTGACCTATTAGTAACTTATGAATGAACAAATGAACCCAATCGGTCAAATTACTTTATAGCTTAGCATTTTGATTTGTCAATAGTAGTAGTGGTTGAGTCTTTTTAATGACTAGCTAACACTTGAGCTCTGTTTCCCTTAATTCTGATTTCATTGGTTTTAATTTTGGATTTGTTATTCTGAATTCATAAGTATTATTATGCTTTATTGAATGTTAAAATATCAAACTTTTTGAATGACTGAGATTTAAGGTAAATAAATAGTGTAAACCAATCATTTATTAGTAAGTTAATAAGAAATAATGTAAGAAAAAAGTTAATAAAGAAATAATTAATTGTAAAATTTAAAGATTAATTAATTATTTTTCCCTTGGCCCATTAGGATGGTCTTTCCTCTCCGTCTTTTAAAATAATGGAGTACACTTAAAATGTACTTATAATTGTTAATTATAAAATTAACTAAAATTTGTGATAAAATCAAATTTTTATAAAATAAAATACAAAGTGCATTTCTTTCATTTTAGGTAAATAAACTTTGTTTTTTAATTTATAATTATTATAAAGATAATAGATTTTAGTAATTCCCTTTTGATTTTTATTTTTATATTAGAGATTATTACTCTTGCATTTAATAATCATATTTTTAAAATAAATTTCTTTAAAAATAAATATATATTCACAAAATGTCTCCTTCCCTATTAATATAAAATAATAACACAAACATTATGTAACCAATCAAATAGTAGAGTTAAATGGTTATGACCATTGAACTTACCCTTATTTTATTTTAGGGGTGGAAGAGGGTTTAAGTAACCTGCGAACCCGAACCGACCAAAACTAATTCAATGAGTTCGGATCAGATTTTTTTAGTGTTTAGGTTAGATCCAATTCAACCTGACCAAAATCCGATAGTACACAGGTTGGATAATGAGTTTTGTGTTTTCAACCTGTTAGTGACTTAACCCAACCCGATAATAATAATAATAATAATAATAATAATAATAATAATAATAATAATAATGTTTGAATGATTATTTATTCAAGATAATACTCACTATCACTCTTACTTAGTAACAAGTTTTGTATTTTAGATTGATAATATTGTAATATTACAATATATTTATTTTAAATTTATTTTATATTAATTAATTTTAATTTTTTGAGTTGATAATAATGTAATAAATTAATAAATTTATATTAGGATTTAATTTGTATCATTATTTACTTTATACATTGATAACATTGAATTTGTAATAATGTATCAAATGATTTAAATCTATTTTAAAATATTTAAAATTTTATAAAAAAATTAAATATAATTATATTAACCCGATTAATCTAACACAACCCAATCCGTTTGTGATTGGATTGGGTTGGATTGTGTTTTTTTTTTTAAATTGCACAAATTTAACTCAATCCAACCCATTAAATTTTGATTGAATCGAGTAACGAAATTATTTAAACCTAGTCTAACCCAACCTGCTTACATCTTTTTTTTTTTTTTTTTGTGAAAAGGGGTTTAAAAGGTCAAAGACAATTTACCAAACGAAAAAATTTGTAGATACATCCGAAGGAGGCTGAATAAAAGCAGAAGTTTTTATCCTTATTTGTTACGACCAGTAGTTTTTTTTGATAGACACTATGCTACGGGATAAGAACAACACGAAAAGGATTGGACAATATTTTATACGATATATTATTTGGTCAATAATAAAATTAAAAATAATATAATATTAAAATTATTATTGTACTTTTTATATTAATTATTATAATATTTTTTTATTATCTTTATGAAAATTATAACAATGATAATGTCTGTAAGCTCAGAAATTATAATGAGACCCGACCACAACGTTTAAACTAATAAATGGTAGGACGATGATGGGTGACGGTAAAAAAAGTGGTAAGAAATCTAATAATATTAGTATAATAATAATAATAATAATAGAATATTTTTATGCTTAACATAATTTGTTAAGCAACAAAAATTAATTAAGATTTTTTTTTTGCGTGAGTATAATAAGAAGTAAATTATGGACATCCCATCCTTTGAGGTATTTTTAACGTAGTGAGAAGATTAGTCACTAGGCAATAAATACTTCGAACGAAAAAAAAAAATATTATTGGTCAACTTGTACGGATGAACTAAAATATGAGGTGGGCATCACTTTCATCACCATTTTTTCTGCACTTACGAGGTTAATCTCATAGATAACTTCATATAGAATTATTGGCTTAATCGTCACGTTTTGGCAGTTTCTGTTCTACGACTTCCTAAGAAAATGAAGGAAAGAGTTGTTCGTGAACATACATGCATGTCAAACATCAATGTATCAGGAGATGGTTGGAATTACACACCAGGATAATCAGATTATCAAATTCAATCTTATTACTATATTAGTACGTTCCATTCCATTCATTATTAAATATCCAAATATACATTATTATTGTGGAACTGGCAGATGCCGCAATAAAATTAAGAAGAAAAAAAAGTAGCTGTGAATTTATATTGCCATTACTATAAGTCTATAACACGCTTGCAACAACAATTTTGTTTCTTTTGCCACCACATGAATTATTTTGTAGAACCTGCAGTTTGGCAGAACACCTTTTGCAGGAAGAGTTCAGATCTGTGACCAAGAGAGAGCCATAAGGGAAATTTTTGTACGTACGTCACACTCCTAATTTTGTACCTTCGTAATAGTTATATGCTGAAAATAGTATTATATGCAACAAGATACATCTTTTCATCTTCTAATTTCCATTTACACTACATTTGCAAGTTTCATCACACACACGTGTATAGCAACCAGCACAATACCCTTTATGTCACAGGGGAGTCATTTGGAGGATTTGGAGCTTGGGGTGGATATTGTTGATGAACTCTCATCCTGCTTTGGCTTCTGCAGAAACAAAAACTATTGTCAATTTGTTAAACACATTAAAGGACTTGAGCACATTAAGTTGTAAACAAAACTCTCTAGTTATAAGATTGAGTTTTGGAGTAACAAATCATATATACCATCCGGGTTTCCATGTCCTTGCAAACCTTGTCCAATTCTTCAAAAACAACCTCAATGGTTGGTCGACCTTTGCTTGATTTGGCAACACACAACACTGCAATCTGTAGGATGGCCTCAAAGTCTGCCTTATCAATTTTTCCATTTAGCCGGGGGTCTTCAAAATCAGAGAGTGGACGTTTTCCCATACTCACATCTCTTGCCTACAAAAACAATTTCAAGTTAACTCACTTTTGGGTTGAAGGGCATGTATATAATAATGTAGACATTATTTGTTGACCCTTTTTTGTATTCCCTACAAGTATACCTTCCTAGTGAGTTGATCTCTGGCATCAAGATCCAACTCTATGACTTTCTGTCCTGACAAAATTTGTAGAGCAACAATACCAAAACTGTATACATCACTGGCGCAGGTTAGCTTGGCATTACTCATGTACTCTGGATCCATGTAGCCTATGGTTCCTCTGACATCAGTAAAAACCTTGCTCTCTTTAATCCCCATCACCTTTGCCAGTCCAAAATCCGACAGTTTGGCTTGGTATTTCTCAGTCAAAAGAATATTCGTAAGCTAAAAATTAAAAACAGGCGAGGCATTATTACCATAAAGCTAACTGAAAGCATATGTACATATCGTTTTCAAGTGCACAATATACAACATATCCAACTTTTCATTGCATGTCAGTACGTACCTTTATATCTCTGTGAACAACGCAACCTTCTATATGATGGTGGAGGTACTTGAGTGCAAATGAACAATCTCTCAAAATTCTGACTCTTGTTTCCCATGTCAAGTGGCTATCTCTTCCTGGGCAAAATCACACACACATAAGTCAATATACATAAATCCTTCAAAGGGAATAAAAACAAAAGAATCCTAAAGGCTAAAGGTAAATTAAAGTCATCTCATCATTCACATCAGACATGTCAAATGATTGAAAAGTGAAGGTTAGGAGAGCGGACATTACTTAAGAGATGTTGAGCAAGATTCCCATTTGCACAAAATTCATAGACTAAATATCTGTCATCCCCTTCTATGCAACATCCAAAGAGACACACCAAGTTTGGATGACGAAGCCTGGAAAGGCCTTCAACTTCTCGAGTGAAAGACTCAGAGGTGTTACTCTTTGTCAAATGCTTGATGGCCACAACTTGACCACTGGGAAGAACCCCTCTATACACCTGGCCCGCACTCCCACGTCCAAGGCTTATCTTTTCACCACCATAGTTCATGGCATTCTCAATTTCAGTATGGGAGAACCAGTACAATCCAGACCATGTAGTGATCTCTTTCAAGTAAACCTTCCTATGAGCCTTCTTCTTGGACAAACATTTGACCATAAGAATCACAAGAAATATTGCAAGGACAACCACTACCACACTCAACAAGGGTTTCACCATAGATCCTGGGGACCCGAAAACATGTTTAGTCAGTTTCATTTGGTTCAAATGTTCAACTATAACTAAAGTAAAATGTCAAGAACTTGAAAAAATAAAATGGTAGAGGTGGCTACTCTTGTTTGTTTCTGAATCAGGGAAGCAACGTAAGACTTTGTCAATGATGGAAGGATCGTTAGTTGCAAGAGCAACAATAGTTGCCACCGCACATATGGCTTTCTCAGTACCGTTCTTTCCCTTGGCATCTTCAGCATATAAACTATTTATCAAGCTAAACACTGCACCAGTGCAATCTGCACAAGAGTGATCAAGGGGTTGATCGAAGTGGGAGCACTTGTCCAACGCGTCTTGGTAGTGTTGCACGTTTCGAACTTCCTGCAAAACTAAGTTGGAGCATCTGCAACTGCCTTGGGACAAGTTGTCAAAGCCACATGAATCGAGTGACATCCCTTGTTGCGGATGAAATGACTCTGTGCAACTCTGTAATTCATCTTGGGAAATGAACAATTGTGATGTTGAGTTAAGGGCTTGCGAGGCCAATGCATTGGACAAAACCGAGAGAGCATTTCGACAGCACAAGGTGGTAGGAAACCCGTCCTCACCCCATTTGTTTATGTCGTCTTTCACACTGCTGCACTCACCAAATGTCACATATTGTGTCGTATTGAAATTCAGCACACATGTACCTGCACCAATCAACCTAGGACTTCTTCATGCATGCAAACTATTCAACTAGCTTTTGGTTGTATAATGTATTTCTACATAATATATATATATATATATATATATATATATAT